CAGTGAGGCGAATTACACACGGCAGACTTCTGTCCCTGTCTGTTGCTTCATACACACAGCTGTGTCGATGCTCTCGCCCCGCTGTGAGGTCAAGCCCTTGTCTGAGCACCAACTCACTTCTCAGACTTGACTTGAATTTTGACCCCACAACCTTCACTTGTGACTGCTCTGTTAAGGAGCCTGAATAATACATGAATCTACCCAGTCTTTATTAAGAGCGATAACATGACCTTGACCTTCTCCATCCAACAACACTGCTATCCATCAATTTTTTTTGCCAATTAAATATAATTTAATTGTGTTTGCAGCTCTACAAAGAGATTGAGGTTTGCCCCAAAGCTACCAAGGTGATCCGGTTTGACAAAGCAGAGTCCTGCACCATTGGATATGGTATGCTTGTCTCTGACAATACCCCTTTTTGAACCCTTTTCTGTCACACTATCGAATTCAGTATCAAATTGATTTCTTAATAGACTTCTTTGAGTCATGCTCTGTTAGTGACTAAAGGGGGGTGACCCAGTATGAGTGTGTTTTGTCTTAAGTGGAGCAAATCACTCGCTAGTTATGAGTCAGCAGTGCACACTGTCAAACTGAGATTTCTTCAAAGAGGACTAAAAGAATGAATGGCTGAATCTCTCTCTGTCTTACTATCTTTGTCTACAGGTTTTTCTGTGGCAGTTATCGATGAGGAGGGGACGCAGCAGCTCCATATTACTGAAGTGAAAGCAGAGGGACTGGCCTCGGCTAAAGGTACGTATTCCTTTTCAATTAATAAACAAACGAAGTTTGTATTGTATGGTATGTTTAGTGTCCTGAGAGTTTATATCGAGGCAAAGAAGACAAAACAAACAACACAAAAAAAAACTGTTACTGTTACCATAGTTGGATCGGAGTGCAGTAACAACAGGGATTAAGTAAAGGGTTTGTGAAAGCTGGGTACATATTTCTCTCTTGAATTGTCATTGCACACTCAACACCCAAACACCTGACCTGAGAAACACCTGATCCCACATGACAGCTTATCAGTGCAGCTTTGTGTGAATGCATCGCGTCAGCTACTGAGCTAGCATAGCTAAATCTCTTATGTATAAGTAAGACGCCTGGTGGTTTTGGACAGAGTAGAGAGGAGATAAAGAAAAACAACACCTGGTCTAGAAAGGTGTTGGCTCGCCGGTTAAAGGAAAGAGGGGAAAGCTGCAGACGCATTACTCTAATGCAGTCTTTTTATTTTATATTATATGGATCAAAATTTTGGCACGTCTTGCCCTTTTCAGGATTGACAAGGCAATCAACATCAACTTAGAAATGTCCAAAGCGAGTTCATTCACAGCCAAGAAAGGCCTCCAACATCAGTATGGCTGCATGATATGAACCAGCAACCAAAAAGTAGAAAAACATCTGTATGCTTGCATCAATAACTCGAAAAAAGAGTTGAATCACCTGTCCTATACTCCATATATGTCAGTCTGACGATTACTGGCTTTCATCCTGAAAAAGGCAAAATCTTGATCGATGAAATAAAAAATAAAAAAGATTGCATAGGAGCTATGCATCTGTGGCTTTCTTCTCCTTCCTGAGAGCAAAGAAGAAAATCAGCATTCCTTTGTCTGCTGTTTGAACAGCCGGGTCTCGAGATCAACCCCCATTCGTTAGTCCTCATTTTTGAACTGAGCCAGAGAGACCTAATGGGTTTGAGAAACACACGGCCGCTCTGTAGATACAGCACTAATGTATAGAAAATAACATGCCCCACTATTGGGCCCCACGGTGAGACCAAGGTCACTCAAGTGTGAGATTGTGTCCTCCGGTGTATTACCAATCTAAAAAGCTGCTAGTTTAGCAGGGCTGCCAGCAGCCAGAGGATACAGCTGTACTGACTCTCCACCTCTAAAGGCGAGTAGAGCTAGAGAAAGCTTGTGGCATCCAGACAACACAATGCATCTTTTTTGTAAGATTACACCATATTTTGCTGAATCACAGAATAAAGTATGTCAGGCACAACATTAGTAGGTCCATGTGTACGCTGGGATTAGCCTGTGTGTGCGTGCGTGCATTTTATGAGGAGTGAGGAGAATGAATGAAATCCCGCTTCAATTTCTGCAGGGTATACGCAGAAACCAGGCCATCTCCGGACAAGGAGCCCCAAAGGGTCTTTTCTCTCTCTCTCTATAATTTCTGCTCCCCCTCCCCCTACAGAGGCACACAGAGACACATCCATGCAACACACACAGCCAAGTACACATACACTCAGCAGTATATGGCCAGAGGGGTTATCTCTCTGTCCAATAAAGACTCTGCTACAGCTGACATTTCACATCCCAGACAACTAGGTCATATCTTAGGGCTAAATGTGTGCTTTGTGTGTCTATATATGTAACTGTGTGTGTGTGTGTGTGTGTGTGTGTGTGTGTGCCTGCATGTGTCTGTAGCATTCAGTGCATTACGAAAGCCATAGCACAGAATGCCTGCTGTTTCTATAACAGTAGACGATACAAAATGAGACTTAAGAAAAGATAGCAAGCAATCATGTGCTGAAGTGTGACTGTGTCAACAGGAGGAGAACCCTTTGTCTTCCTTAATTCTGCAGTGAGGGCAGGGGAGACTGCTGTCAAATCTACTAAACAGCTGTCACAACCAATCAGGTTTATTGGGGGAGGTTGTCTGCTAATTGGTCGGCTGATTGAGTGCTAATTCTCAATTAGCCGAGCCGGGCACAGGTGGTTGAGGGGAGGGGCAAGAGAGAAAGCCTCAAACTGAGGCTGTGATGCAGTGAAGTCCATGGAATCTGTTTTTATATATAGTGCCACGCAGATGATGTACATGATGACAAGACAGATATAGACAGGCATTGCATCATCCTTAAAGCCATCCAGTCTTGTTAGACTAGCATTTGCCTTAAGCGAATATGCATAGAGGGATGCATTCTTTATGTATTGGAAGACATTAGAGTCCCAACATGTCTGGTTAGCCCCAGAGCTGCTGTTGAGAAGTATTGCACCAAAGTTTTGCTTGTGTAGATCATTTCTTCGCATTAGCCCTGTGGACTTGATGGCCCACTGGAAAGCTGCTGTGTTTGTTGTTGCCTTTCACTCACTGTGTGTCGCTTTTATCACTGTCAGCCTTTTATGTTGCAATGTATTTCTCTACTTTAAAGGATGCAATTACTGGTTGTTGTTTCTTTTACATTAAAGCCTGTTTAACTTTATTTTCTCACTTAATTGTGTCCTTTCATTCTCCACCAGGTTTGAAAGCAGGCGATGAGATTCTGTTGCTGAATGGTAAACCTGCATCTGCCCTCCAAATGGATGATATGAGGGCTGCGTTTATAAACCAAGCGCTGACCTTCAGCGTCAGCACCCTGCCCCAGCTGGACCCTCGCGTGCTGTGCTCCCTTCCACCGCGGCGCTCCGATGGGGAGCAGGACCCAGCCACAGACATCTTCTCCCAGAGCCAAGGTAAGATTCCTGTTCCACATACGGTGTGGAGGCATGGGTTAAGTTGTTTTCCTTATTTGGGTTTTGAACAAAGGCAGTTTTCATTAGATGATGTATAAATCATCAACAGTGTCCTCTAGTGACAAATATGGGGGCTTCTTTTTCATTTTCAAATAATAACTTAAGTTTGTTGAGGGCCATCAGGCATCAGTGTTGTCAAACTCTTCATGTTGTTATATAACAGCTGTTTCTGTTGTTAAAATCAGATCAGGGTTATCAAAACTAATGCCTATTATATCTGTAGCTTGACAGCATGTTAGAAAGAAACAAAATAAAACTACCCTTTTAGGTTTTGGAATTTAAAATTGAATTTCCTTTTTAAGTTTATATTCTTATCTCTTGCCTTGTACCATTGTAAATCCTCTAAGCCCCCAACTTTGTGTAGTGCAAAAGGGAGTATGCAGATGGTGATTTTTTTTTTTTTAAAGCGGAGGGTGAATAGGGCGATCTGCTAATTATGCTGTCTGATAACCAACCTGCAGGCAGCTGACAGCTTTCCTCTGCCCTTCTCTTTTCATCCGTGCAAGGGCACCATTTGTATTCCTTTTATAAATTGTGGGCTTGCAGCGCACAGGCTAACAAACTGGCAGTGTTTATACAGGGACTCGGAGAACTATGAATATTAATATGAATCCATCAGCAGCGCAGAGCTGTCATTGGGTAGGATATGCCATACGCAAAGGGTCGGACAGAGAATAAAAACACTTAAGCAGCCAGATGGAGGTTATCGATGATCTCATGCTTAAGAGGTGTGTGCACAAGAGGCCTTCAACTCAAAGGAAATAAATTTAAATTTCTCACGGATGTGGATAGAATAATAGACGACACGGTCGTATCATAACAAGAAACAATAAGGGTTATAGGGATGTTTGTACTGCCGTCATTATCTTTGCAGCTTAGGGATGCCGACTTACAGGGTAGTTTTTCATAACAAAAGTGTATTGTGCATATATCCAGAAGGATACACGAACACTCAGATTTCTCTTTAACACTATTAAAGGAAGTGTAGAAAATGAAATGCATTAGAACAGGTTAATTGTACAAAAGAGTGTGTAACTGAGCATTATGGAGAAGTCTCCTGTTATTTCGATATACGCAGCGTATTATGTACAATTTTCCCTTTGTCTCTGTCTGTAGAGGACATCCTGGATGAGGTGTCGGGGTTGACGGTGGAGAGCCCAGATCAGAGCTTAGTGGAAGGATCTCGGCGGACCCTGCAGAGTCCTGGAGATCATCAGGAAGACAAAACGTGCATGGGGACTGGACAAAAGGTAGAATATGGCGTGCAAAGACACAACTTTGATATGCATACACACTACGACAAACGTGCACATACATGCAACAGAGCAGGGGATTAATAGTAGTTTGACAGTTTTCCACACAACTTGTCAGTGTCATGTGTTGTTGCAGACAAAGATCAACGTGTGTGTGTGTGTGTGTGTGTGTGTGTGTGTGTGTGTGTGTGTGTG